AAAGCTCACCGGAAGCACTTTTTCATCAAAACAAGATGGCGGCGCCCAGCTGATGCCGGTACTGGGCCGCGCCATAAAAAAGGTTGGGGATACCGGGCCGCGGCATAAAAAAGGTTGGGGATCACTGTTGTAGAGGGATTCTCTTGCCAATTTATCTGGATTTCCTTTTGACTTGTTACTTGCAAAGAAGTGGATAAGACTTGGTAGATTGTCTTTGATCTTGTATCCTTGCCCTGAATTTCAGACAGATCTCTCTCACTCCCCCCCTCTCTTTCTCCCCTTCCATTTCCCTCTCTCTCCCTTCCTCTTTCTTTCTCCCTCTCCCCCTCTCCCTCCTCCCTCTCCTTCTCCATCTCCCTCTCTCTTTCTGTGGTTGGGTGTATATGGAACTCACCATGGACAACTCACCATGGACAACTCACCATGGACAACGTGTTGTGGGACAATTTAATATTATACAATTTAATAATTCAATTTATTTAAAGTAATTAAAATTATTTTAATTTTTGTCATTCATATTTCTTTTTGTTCCTCCCCTGGCATCTTTTAATGATTCTATTCCATCATTTCTTTGATGTTAGTGTAATTCTTGTCCTGCAACGCATTGTCGTGTGGCGAGTTGGCCACAGAGAGTTGGTTGTGCTGAGTTGGCTGCGGCAAGTTGTCCTAGACTTGTGTGTCCTCCTTGACTTGCTAGTGGAGGCTGTAGACAATATCGGCTTGTGGTCTTACTTGAGAGGGGAGAACTGGACTAACACGGCTCCCATTCTCATGACCACCAACTAGACCAGTATTGGTGAACCTTTTTGGCACCGAGTGCCAAAACGGGAGCGCGCACACACACAGGAGTGCTGGAAACCAGAAAAGCAGCTCTCTGGCATGCGCATACATGCCAACCACCTGGTCTTCCGGTTTCTGGTGCACATATGCGTGCAAAGACCAGCTGGCCAGCACGCATGTGTGCCAGAACCCAGAAGAGCAACGAGTAACACTGGCATGCCTGGAGAGATGGCTCTGCATGTCATTTCCGGTTCACCATCACAGAACTAGATTAATATTGTGGTGGGAAAAACAGGAGGGTATTCTCATTTGGAGCAAATTAGGTGGTTCAAAGCCAAAAGCATTATTTTCCTGTAGCGGTCCACTTCTCTCCAATATATTAGCCTTCCTGAAGAACAGAGCTTTTTAAGACTTTTGTAACCAGACACTATGTTATTGTTTTATGTATTGTTTTAATGTATTTATATTTTTCTTTGATTACTGTGCTTTATTATTGTGAACTGCCAAGAGTCATATAATTGCAGTGAGATGTAAATTGGATGGTAGATAGAGAGAGAGAGACAGAGACAGACAGACAGACAGACAGACACCCTTCTTGTCACAAGAAGCTTCCCCGTGACTCTCCAGAAAGCCCAGAAATTAAGTAGCAGCGCTTGACCTCTGAAAATTTCCCCTCCCATCAGCTTTGAAATAAACATGTTTAACAACAAGAGAAATGGGACAAAACAAACTCATAACTTCATATCACTTTCATCCAAAACAAACTCATAACTTCATATCACTGTTAAATACATTTAACAGAAATTTATTTTTTTTACAATAACTGATTCAGGAATTAGAACTTCAAGAAATTGATACAAACACATTTTGCATACGAAGACATTTAAATATAAAATCTAAACCATAATGTTGTTAATCACTCTATTTATAACATACATAGTATGCCTCTTTTTTAAAAAAATAGCTTAATAAACCATTAAACTGTTTTATAAAAGTTAATATATTCATCCCATAGGATGTACAAAGCTTTGTTCTTGAACTAGTTTTACTATCATTCAAAACATTTGTTTTAAATGCACTCAAATCTTCAAAAAAAAAAGGAGGTATTCTTTCCATAGGAACATAAAATAATCGTAACACCTAACTACATGTCTATTTTTAACACATAGTTCTTAAATTAAATTAAGCTCACCTTCATGAGTCATTTATACAATATGTTAACATTCAAACAGCCTATGATTGCAGTTACTAAGTCTTTGTGTAATTTACATTCACATGACAGAGTTTATCTCAAGATCTGGCACAGTTCCCATTCATGTCAAAGAACTATTGTGTTGGAAAATATTTTCAGCCAGCGTGGGGAGCAGGCGTTTTGACAATCCCTGTCTAGCAGCTTGATAATTAAAAACTTAAACAGAAGATGCAACTAAAGTCACAATTGGGGTTTCCTTCCCTCAAAACCAGTAGATATACATGAATTAAATTATAGATATTCATTAGGAAACTAGGTGACTCTGAATTCAGTAATGTTTTCTTGGAAATGTTCTTAGCTTATGTACAGAATTCCTAAATTTGCCACACCCTCAGTTTGAAACAAAGGAGATCAATTGCAACAGCACTGAGAGTTAGGAAGTATGATAAAAAATAATAATATGAAGCCCCAAAATATTATTTTGAAAGAAGGTGCTTATCTCCCTTGATAATCAAAACAAACTAAACTAGTGGTGGAGCATAAATATGCTCTTTTGCTCCAATATTACTTCATTCACTTAGTAAGATTACGTGAAAATACGGATTGAACTACAGGTAACAAAAGGCAGGTTGGTTGGTTGGTTTTTAGGTAAGCCAAGTAATAGAAACCAAGCAAAGGACTCACTGTCAGTATAACTGTCTTTTTAAAAAATCAGTTACATACATGTGTGTGTGTGTGTGTGTGATTAAAAGTAGCAATGGAATCATCCAGTACATTCATTAAAAGATTGTTAGAGTTCAAGGAATCCAAGCGCAGCTCTTATGCTTCTCTCTCTTTCTCCCATCCCTCTCTCTATAGATAACTACTCCTTTCAGTTCCACATAAGAGACCACCAAATCTAGTCATAATCTAGTGTTGTTGGTCCACGGACAATATTAAAGTAGCCAGCTAATGCTCCAAGGTTTATATATAATGAGCGTTGTCTCCTCAGCAAATCCAATTCCTCAGTAATCCCAAGACATGAAGAATCTAACAAGAAAAAAATTAAAGGAAAAGGTATATTATACACTAGAAAAGTAGTTTCAGAACAATTAACAATTAATTAAGACGGGTTTCTCCATCTCTGGAGACTGGTCAATTACTGTTTTAGGATGCATTAATTGGTTTTCCTTCACACTGCAAAGGGTTAAACTAATTTTGTAGTCCCTTCCAACTCCACGGTTCTGTAATTCTATGGTTTATTAATTCCCCTCCTTCCTCTATAAATAAGTAGAGGAACTGTATACATAATAACGGCACCCAATTAAGATAACTTGAAAGGGGAAGATAAAGTTACGAGCAGTTTTATTCTTCTTAGCTAAATATTAGCATCAATTAAATAGATGTTTGTTCCTTTAGCAAGCCTCAAAGTATTCTTCATTAAATCCCTCCTTGGCATCAATTAAATGTACAATGAGTTTGAGAAAGTTCATTTTGTAACCCAATTAGGGATGAGCGCATTTCTAATAAAGTTTTATATCAAATAGGAAATAGAACTTTATGTGAGCTGATGCAGATTTGTCTTCTCTGTTAGAACAGGAATTGTTCCACAAATGAATACAGGGAAATCAAGAATGAAGTCCACTATTATTAAATAAAAATCATAGTGACTTTATATTGGCTAGGAGAAAAGAACCTGGTGACCTATGAAATTTGACTGCACTGCTAAAAGGCTGGGAATAAAATTATTGATAAAAATAATGAAGTTCTAGGAAAATGAAGAAGACAGATACAGCAAACCAACTGCACTCAAGTATGTCTTCTATTGTGATTCCCCCCTCTTATAGCCTTTTTAAGAAAATAATCTAATATTCCAGATTCTGCAGAACATTATAAATAGTCAGTCCTTGGGTTTCAAATGGCAATCCAGATTTTAGGACTGCAAGTATGTGACTGCAGGAATACTGCAAATGGCCAGAATTCTGAAAAGCCAATGTAAGTTCCCACCATTCAGTCCTGTGGCAAGTTTGAATGATTGCTGAATGGATGACTGTAACCTGAGGACCAACTAGATTGCACAATTTCGGAAGCTCCAAAATACATGTTGAGTTTCCTAAATGCCAATGTGAACTTGTCACGGAACTGATTTTGCAGAAATTACACACTTCATCTAAAGCCCTTTCAACTGAGAAGGATTCTGCCTTGCCCTTAAATATTGGTTTGGCTGGCTCTCAGACTTTTATGAGCGATGATGGCACAGTGGTTAGAGTGCAGTTCAGGCTACTTCTGCTGATTGCCAGCTGCCTGAAATTTGGCAGTTCAAATCTCACCAGGCTCAACCTTCCATCCTTCCGAGATGGGTAAAATGAGGACCCAGATTGTTGAGGACAATATACTGACTCTGTAAACCATTTAGAGGGGTCTGTAAAGCACTGTGAAGTGGTACATAAGTCCAAGCTATAGCTATAAGTCCATAGCTATTGCTATGAAGACGCTTGGGAAGTGCGTTGGTCTTTGCCATAAAGGCCAAAGTTATGTGGAAGTAGCTGAAGATAAGAGCAGACCGTACCTGAAATATTCTCAGAGAGTTCCAACTCATTCTTTTCCAGCAACCTCTTTCGTGCAAAAAGTGCTGAATCCAAACTCTGACAACGGGGCTGTTCCTCTCGTGATGGGTGCAAGGCTTCATGTTTGAGCAATTCTGTAGCCGAAAGTCTCTGGTTGGGATTCCTTTCAAGAGCTGCTTCCAATAACTGTCTCATATTAGCACTGCAATCCTCAGCAATGTCCTCAAGTGGCGGAGCTTGCTTATGGATCTACCAAAATAAATGTTTAAGAAAGGAAGGTTGTAACTTGACGCTTAAGAAGAGGCAGAGAAAAATTTCCCACCGTTGCACGAATATATGCATGTTGTAAAGTTACCGCTCTAGGAATTCCCTCTCCCTGATTCACAGGTTGGAAAATTGCCATTCTACTCCTGAGATAAAAAGCCAGAGGAATCCTGGAAGCAGAGCCAGTTTCACACTGAAACTTGCCCCTAAAACAGGTTCAAATTCAATCTAATGTCTACAATCCTAACTCAGAATATCCAAGGCAAGCAAAGACAAATGCACAGCATTTGAAAATTCTAATTTGGGGAGCAAAAGGGAATGAAGATGGATATGCTATAAATTAGAAACAGATCTTTTGGCTTAGGCTGGTATTGTCACTCCTGTAACAAAACACAACCTCCAAAGGCATAATTTGCCAGTTTTGCACCTGGAAATAGTTAAATTGGTTTCAAAGTGGGGCGGGGTTTTTATGTATGAAAAAAATCTATATAGGAATATTGAATATATTTTTAATGTTCTATTTCTGGTCCAATAAAGAAGAAATTATCCAGAAAAATACTGCCTAATTTTAATCAGTTGAGCTTTGGGCCAATTCAAAACAGTACTGACAAATTTTATAGCTCTGGCTGGTCAAATTTAGGTTATGTAAAGACAAGTAAACTGAATCACTCAGAGCTGCTTTGTTTAAATTTATTTTCCGCTTGCAAATTTTTCAGCTTGCAGTTTTTATCTCCCTCCAACTCAGATCAACAAAATATCTTCATTCTCCCAGTTGTTCCCATATCCACAATCTTGTGGCGATTTACTAAGTTTTACGTAACGGGAATGCAAAAGGCCTGAAAGGTAGCACAGCAGCATATCAGCTTACTTCATAGATTCATATCCACAATGTTTTGTTTTCACTATATTTCATAGTCAAACCTTATCCCAAATACCAAAAACCTCCCCTCTGACTTTAGTTTTCCGTGAATAAGAGTATTAACTCTGTACTGCTTGGTACATAATTATGGCACCACCATGTCAATAGTCTGGACTGCATACAGTAGAATAGCTATGCTTATCTCTAATACAATGGAAACTTGGGCATTCACAATCAACCAGTTGGGGAAGGTTCCACAAAGAAATTTAGATTGCATTGGTGTTACTGAGAGGCAACTGCTTAATCCTTTTTCCTGTGCTACTTGAGGCTAAGTTGTCTCTTCCCCTCTTGCTCAGGGTTGGACAAGCAGGTAATCACACATTTGGAAGGAATTTTGGAAGCCTTCAAGTTTCACTCCTTGCATATTTCAAGAAACCAAAAGCAACAATCCTTTCCACCACACCCAAACATACACATACACATATATATAAACACATCTCACAAAGAGAAGCATTCTTTAGATACTTATGGGAATAGAGGATGATAAGCACAAATATACTGCATGTAAAAGCACTAATTACAATCCTTGTTTGAAAAAACATGATGGGTACTTAAGATTCCAAGCCTCAGGCAAAGAATTCAATGAGAACCAACACCTTCCTTTTGTAGCAGTTTGTGTTTTTGTTCTGGTCCTTGCCAGATTCATTATGTGACCCAAATTGCAATGTTGTATTTCTGTAAAGTGAAACTTCTATATTAAATGCAGAAGGTTGTAGACTGAATTTCTGTCTGGTCCACTGAACAGGTTCAGGATGGCAAACTCCCTGGGCCAGGGATGCAAAATACAGAAAATGTAAGTATCCTGACCTGGTCTTCAAAACTTCACTTTTTTGTTTACAATTTCCAAAATGGCTACTCATATGTGCATCATTTAGGCACCCAGCATCTAAGACTGGGTGCATATGTGGTACACAGAAACAAAAGCATGGCTTTTCCAATGTGTCCTTGTGGATTGAGGGAAGTGAGAATGGGAGATAAAAGTAGAACTTGACTTACAAGTGATTGAACCCAGAATTACATTTGTAAGTTGTTCCAGTTTTTAACCGGATCACCATGTGACTGCACCCAATTTCTTGTGGGAGTTATAACATGAATAGGATGGTTGTTAGGTAGATCCATTATTCCAAATAAGTATTTTTTGCTGGAAACCAAGTTTGCAGCAAAAAAGATGATTAATCACAATCACAGAACCATGGAATGTTGCGAATGGTCATACATGCAGGCTGATTGCTGAGCACCCAAAAAACTAGCATGTGAGTATAGGTGATGAGTAGCCCTCGGCAGATCCATTTTAACTTTGAACTGTTATTATTACTTACTATTTATTATTACCTTTATTGTCAGAGTACAACATGTGTACAATGAGTTTGGCTGAGCCTCCCTTTGTGCACCCCCACACACACACAACTCACAGTGAGGACAGAAGTCCCTAACCCAGTTCCAATCTTATTACACTATATGACCTTATTGCACAATGCGCTGGCCCTGTAAGACTGTCATACTATGTTGACATGAAGTTATTTTCCATTCAGAAGTCTGACAGCCCACGGGTAGAAACTGTTCTTCAGCCTGTTGGTGTGACTGGCTATGCTTCTATATCTCCTACCCAATGATAGGAGAGTGAAGAAGTGCTGACTGGGATGTGAGTCATCCCTGAGGATTTTCCTCACTCTTCTAAGGCAGCAAGCCCTGGCAATGTCATCTAGTGGTATCAGGTTACACTTGGCCAATAAAGTATTTTATTCAGTCCGGCAACAGTCCACGATGTCTTGTGCTGTGCTCACCACCCTCTGTAATGTCTTTCTATCCGCGGCTGTCAAGCCAGCATACCACACCGTAATGCAATATGTAAGGATGCTTTCTACTGTGGACCGGTAAAAGGAGGTCATCAGTCATTGTTCCACTTTATTCTTTTGCAAGACCCTAAGGAAATGGAGTCTCTGTTGGGCCTTTCTGGCCAACTGGGTTGTGTTGATTTTCCAGGTAAGATCTGTTGCTAAACAACCAGTCGAAAGTTGAGAATCACCTCTACCCCATGGCATCAACCTATCAGTTGCTTTATATTTTAATAATTGGTATATTATTTACATTAACTACAGTTACTATTTGATATACTTAAAATATTGATAATATGATGATTATTATGTATCATATGTTGCTGTCTAAGCCCATTCAGAAGTAATAAGCTTATAATAAACAACAAGCAATGTAGTTGCCAACTCATTTTGCCTCATTTTTTTATTTAGGATTAGGGTTAATGAATGCGAATCTAATGCTGGAAAAGAAAGTATATTCCCTACATATACCCTAGATTATCAACGAGTTCTACCATATTATGTTTTTCTTCCAGTTCTGCTGCTAAACACACCCCAAATGACACCAAGAGCAAATCAAAATAGTTCAATTTCTTAAAAAAAACTCATCACCTTTACAAAACCAAGAGGTTTTACCCAATTATCTAACCCAGTGTTTTTCAACCTCGCTAAGTTGATGGACTTCAGCTCCCAGAATTCCCCAGCCAAGAAGACTAACTAGGGAATTCTGAGAGTTGAAGTCAATGCATCTTAAAGTTGTCAAAGTTGAAAAACACTGTTCTAATCACTGCACTACTATAAAGATTACAGAAACAGGTTGTCAACTTGCAGCTGAACACCTATTGAACAAACGATTAAATAAACTTACTATGTAGAGATAGGAGGGATATGCTGCACGAGGATATCGACTGACCCATGGTGGGATGCCAGTTTGCATGTGGATGATGGTTGCTCCTAGACTGTAGATGTCAGCTTTTGTACTGTGGCCTCGGCAGAGAATCACTTCTGGACTCATGTAAATCTGCAAATAAAATAAAAAATAGAGTTTGGCTGTACTAAGAATTAGAATAGATTAAGAAACTAGAAATAGGGGGGGATATTTAAAGTGAATGTTAGAGGTTAAGATCAGATTTTGAAAAAGGATGTTATCAGGTACGCTGAAGAATAATGTCATTACTGTTAGAAGGATATAGCAAATATTGAATAATTGAAAAATGAAGGATTGTGTGCTGATACAAATATGTATAATAACATGAGAACTACATCAGTTGGATTAATGTAGTAATTTTTATTTGTATTAAAATGAATGACACCAAGACCCCACACTGTCCAATTATATTGATGTATATTAAAAAAAACTTCACTACAAAAAAAAAGAAAAGAAAGAAAATTAGCTTCTGTGACAACTTTACTCTAGAATCATCTTTAAAGCCAAGTAGCAGACAGGCAGGAATAGCTAACACCCAAGAAGATAGGCTCAAGATCCAGATGGCTCTTGACAGACTAGAACACTGGGCCGTATCTAACAAAATGAAATTCAATGTAGAGAAAAGTAAAACCCTATACTTAGGCAAGAAAAACCAAAAGTACACATATAGATTGGGTGAAACCAGGCTCAATAGCAGTAACTGGGAGTGTGATTTTGGAGTCTTAGTGGACAACCAGCTAAATATGAGCCAGCAGTGTGCAGCAGCAGCCAAAAAATCTAATGTAACCCTAAGTTGCATTAAAGATACAATCAAGATCAAGTGAGGTACTAAAACCACTCTATAAAGCCTTAGTAAGGCCACACCTAGAGTACTACATCCAGTTTTGGTCACCACATTATAAAAAAGATGTTGAGACTCTAGAAAAAGTACAGAGAAGAGCAACCAGGATGATTAGGGGACTGGAGACTAAAACATATGAAGAACGGTTACAGGAACTGGTCATGACTAGTCTAGTGAAGAGAAGGACCAGGGGAGACAAGATAGCAGTGTTCCAATATTTGAGGGGCTGCCACAGGGAGGAAGGACTTAAGCTATTTTCTAAAGCGCCTGTAGGCCAGACAAGGAATAATGGATGGAAACTGAACAAGGAGAGATTTAACCTGGAAATAAGGAGAAACCTCTGACAGTGAGAACAATCAACAATGGAACAGAAGTTGCCCTCAGAAGTTGTGGGAGCTTCATCACTTGAGACTTTCAAGATTGGACTGCCATTGTCAGAAATGGTGCAGGGTCTCCCGCTTGGGCGGGGGGTTGGACTAGATGGCCTATAAGGTCCCTTCCAATTCTGATTATCTGTTATCTGTTTGGCACAGAAGGTTTAAAAATAATTGCATTTTTCACTGATCTCATTTAAAAGCCATGCAAAACTTGAGCTTTTGCTCAAAGAAACAGGAAAATTATTGGTGCCAATTTTAACTGCCCATTTTGATGCAGTGGTGCATTGTGAACAACTAACGAAGAGCAAGAAATCATAATAGACCATCCCATTTAAGATATATCAAAGATTTATATTGATAATAATGACTATATTTATAGGAAGACTTGCTTCCGTTTGAACTTATCTAGATATAAAAAACTCTTCCGTAGTGTTTCCTGTTTCCCCTTACCATTAGAAAAAAAGGATTCCAGTGCAATTCTATCTCATGAGAATGTTTAGCCAATATCGATCTTGATAAATTCTAAATGACATGTCAAAGCTGTTTAACCACATTATGGTGGTGATTTTACTAATGAATAATAAATTGGACGAGGGGACAGCGAAGGAGAACTCCATGGCAGACATTCTTATTGTCCTGTGCTCCATCTCATTCTTCTGCAATTACTATGATACATATGGGGCTATCCTCTCATGGACAATCATTACCTCTGTTCCTCGAAGTTCTTTAGGATAATAAACATCTTCTGTCATTTGAACGCTTAGTCCAAAATCCACTAAAACAGCTTTGGTTGACATGAAAACAATGTTGCTTGCTAGAAATTAAAGGAACAAATGAGGATTAGGCTAAGGAACAAACGTCCATGTTTAGTTTAACACAGAAAATATCTTACAGGCAGGAATTAAAAGGAAAGTAATTTTTAAACAGGCACACACCAAGCAAAAATACACTTTGGACTTCTTCTACCAGTGATTCATAACTGCATGGAAAAAAGCCACTATAGCTGTTTTGCCCTACTTCCTGCACTTGAACAAGTCTATAGATGGATTATTTGACTCAGATGTTGAGCTGCGTATCCATATAGTATGAGCTTCAAGATACGTAAGAAGGGATAGAAGAGATATCTCTGCAGAGGTGAGCTTTTGACCCTGGTCTCACCTTCCCCTTATATCATCATCCCTTTGAGAATCTCATTATGGGTTTTCAAGAACAATAATTCCAAGTTAAGAAACTTCCTGGGCTTCCATACCCAAAGTATGAGATACTGTTCACAAACCCACTTTGGCGGACCGCCAGCTGCAATCTGGGTCACTGATAGGCACAATTCACACTCCATTCCAGACTTTGTGGAGATTGTGGTCCTAAAGCAAATTAAAATTCTGACTTCTGAAATATCTTTTTAGGTACTCATAGCATTTCACGTGGATAAAGTCATGACTCATTAGATGTTTTTGAAATTATCTAAGTTTTAAAGTAACCCCAGTGACAGCAATGACGGGAAAACTTTATATGTTGATGAGAAAAAGGGAGAAAGAGAAATATGATCACTCCCTTCCTCCTATTCTCTCTTCAACTAAACCTTGAGGAGATCAATTTAAACAGGAAATCCCAGTGGCAGGCAAGAAACTAAAGGCTGCATCCGATTGTTGGCGCAATATACTGACTCTGCAAACCTCTTAGAGGGCTGTCTAAGTGCTATTGCTATTAGATTTCTCCAACATCTGCATGTCAGGTAACATACGCCTTTGTAATCTAGAAAGTTGAATAGATGTTGCATTTACATTTCTGTGAATGTTAACATTCTGACACTCAGACAACTAAGGATCAACAGGAAGCTGGATCAACCAATCACACATGCAGGACCCACATCTCCATACAACATGTAACTGAGATTTAGGAGGTCTGCATGTTGGCGTGTCTGTAAACATTTGCAACTTACTCTTCCCCTCAACCCTTCGCTGCGTAGATATGCTTCAATGCCTATACCATTTTGGACAAGCTAAATCGTGCCTAACTCTCATGTATTTTAGCAGAGCTTTCCTTAGTCAAAAAGGAGAAGAAATTATTCAGTCATCAAAATCCTATCTTCCTCATTGTGAGTGGCGTACTTGGGTCTCTCTGGTTCAAATACCAGAATGAGTATTTAGCAATCCCTTCCTTGTTGTATAAAAATAAGTCCTGTCTTACTGCAAGATTATGAGATAACATCAGCAAAAGTGCATGAACATATTTTGTGTAGCCTGCAACTCAGACTTCTGATTCCCATTTGCTGAATAGCAGCATTTCACCGCTAACACACTCCTCCAGCCATCAGTCCTTCAGATCAGTGGTGGATGCTACCGGTTCAGACCGGTTTGGCCGAACCAGTAGTAAAAAAGCAGACAATCGGCTGAGAGGAGAGAAAAAAATCCTCCAATCAACTGAGAGGAAAAATAGAAGAAAAGCGCAGGATCGGCCCTCCCACTTGCCCCTGCGCTTTTCTCTCCTTTAGCCTCTCAGCTCATTGGGGCTGTAGGTCTCAGCTGCCGGCGTTAGGCAAAGCACACCCACCAAGCCATGTCCACCGAACTGGTGGTAAAACAATTTGAATCCCACCACTGCTTCAGATGTATTTAGGACTACAGTTGGACTGAAAAATCTAGAAGGTACTAAACTGGGGGAAACTGACTGGCCTAAAATATGCTTTTGGAATGAAGTAGACCTAAGATAACAAGGAGCAGAACTTTGTTCAGAAGGACGGTGAGTAATAGAACTTCCAGAGGTCTTCCCTCATGACTGAATTCAAGTGCTATTTACTCAGCCTTCGTTTGGTAGAAAACTCTATTGTTGTGCAATTTTCTACCCACATTGCCAAACTTTATCCTGCCTCTTCAGCAATGCATCTATTATAAGTCACTGCTACATGGTACTGTCCTAGTTTTGGATGGTAGAGTGTGATAATCAAGCCATTCAGTCAGTTCCTTCAGTTTTCCTGCCTACTTTGCTTGTCATCAGCCAGGAAATACAAAACTTTTGTCATTTGTGGAGTTACAACAAGAAAGCCTGACAGTTCCTTCCTGTGTCTTTCTCTTATGCCCAATTCTTTCCTAACTCAAGCTGAACAAAGTAAAATAAATAAATAAACAGAGTAGAGTCCCAAAGGAACTGTATTAGAAGCAGCTCCTTTGCTTAGGAATTTTCTTCCTTTCTTTGTGTAGCATGGAGTATGTGTAATGGAGAAGGCCGGCTGCAGGGCGCCGTGCCAATCATCTAAGCAGCTTGGCTGTGAGTGTCCCAGGGACTGACCGCCCTGCGTCATTTCCACAGGGATCTCAGTTGAGTCCAATTGGGGGCAAGGAAGGAGCAGGAGGGCCCAGTTAATTGGCAGCCCTGATCTTCATGGGCACCTGGGCAATTGGCCAGCTAGAAATGTCCTGGGACCACAGTGCTTGGTGCGGCAGGATTCAAGCTACAGAAAGTGGCATTCAGCTTATTGCTGGGCAAATGACCTGCCAGAAATTAGCGGGGAAGGGATGGCCCAGGGGGAGAGAGGAAATAAAAGGAAGAGGTGTGTGGCACAAAGGGGAAACAAAAGAAAAAAGAGATAGAAAAGAAAAGGAGATGGATAGAGAGAGGCAAGCAGAAAAACAGAAGCAAGCAGAGGCAAAGTAAACATATGGGAAGAGGGGAAATATGGGAAGAGGGGCTTACTGGCCCACCCTGCCATCCCACCACCACATGGTCTCTGCTTGATTGGGCTGCACAGGAGACGATAGAGGCAAAAGAGAGGGAGGGAGGGAGAAAGAGAAAAGCCATCAGGCAAGTGGCCAAACTAGTGACCAGTGGGGGCACCAGACACATAGGAGGAGAGCTGATTCAGACAAGTGGATGAGCTATTGACCAGACAGGGCGCCAGACATACCAAACAGCAGCAGAGGAGAATTGATCCAGATGAGTGGGTGAGCCAGATGCACCAGAAGACAGGGAAGGCAAGTTGATCCAGGCGAGTGGGCAAGCCAGTGATAAGAGAGGGGGCCAGATGCACTGGAGGACGATGGAGGTGAATGGAGCTAGGCGAGTGGAACTGTCTGGGGGAGCGACCAGAGTGGGCTGACGGCCAGGACGAGGGACAGAGCAAGAGACCTTGAGACTGAGAGCGGGGAAGACTTAATTGTCTTGGGAAAGGGACAGAGGGATCCCGACTCTAGTGGGATAGTGCTACATTTATATGGGCAACAACTGTCATTCCAGATTTTACCATGCTCTCTTCAAAAGGGAACGGGGAGAAGAATTATGCTACACTAAGTGTTCACCTTAATCCTGGCTGGACCATCAAGTGGAGTTGTGCAGATCTAAAAGAACCACAGTACAATGTTGTCCTGCAGAATGTTGAGGAGGGCACACAAGAGGAAACGGAACACGTCCCTATCGGTCTGAAGCAGTCCCATTCTGATCCCAGCCTCTACTCGTCACCTAACGTTGCCTTGGATATAATGGGTGGCAAAATGTAGAAGGTTTTGCACATTCAATGGCTGCTATTGGATACTCTTTTATCACCATTACAGTTAAGAACAATTTAAGTCCGCCTCATCCATGAGTTAGACGTGACAGGAAGGCAACGTCAGAGGAAAATGGCTGAAAAAACCAGACTGCCAGGGCATCTTTGTGTCTCACTCAGATGTAGGTGGAGAAAAACCTGGAGTCTTCATCTTTGAATATAGAAGGATAATAAAGTTGTGCAGGCCTACAGGAATATGAATTGACTTTTTCTTGCTCTAAAGTACTCCATAAAAGCTAGGTGTGAAAAGCTTTCAATTGCTAGGATTTCTACCACATTTTTCTTCACTGGAATATCTCCTGATGCATTTTCATGCCAAGATAAACATCATCCACTGGATTTTCGACTGTCAGCACATCTTTAAAGAGAGAAGAGCCTCCAAGAGGACAGGAAGGCAGAAAAGGCAAGAAATTTTCTTCATAGAACTTTTCGTTTTCCTGGGCCTGGAAATATCCTTTTAAGCATATTTAAGACCGGTCACTTAATTATCTATTTTCAAAGTTATGATGGCTGCACACCCACCCCATGATCACATGGCAACCAGTCTGCATTTGTGGCAATTTGCACATCCAGTCATCATGTGACTGCAATCTGCAATCTTTTTTGCAGGTTTTATGCCATTTACTTCCAGTTTCCAGGAACACCAGTTGCATTTGTTACAAAAAAAGTTTTTAAGAAAAGGTTCTGGTCATGTGATGGCTCAGCTTACGACCACAATGATTTACAACCCTAATTCCAGGCTCTATTACAATAACAAGTCAAGGAAAACCTGTACTCTAGAGAAGCATTGTACATTTGGAGTTTTGGGATAAATTTCAGGAAATGAGGTTCTTTGGGGTAATAAACACTACAATGACAGGTACTACCTTCCACCCGCAAGCCAAATATTATTGAATTTTGAAGAGGGACCTTTCATGCAGTGAAATTCCTTTGCAAATATCTGCCTAAACCTAGTGATCCAGAGCAACTCAATGCCCTCCAGGAATGCTAGATGTTTATACCTTTAATCAGGAGGTCCAAAGGACAGAGAAAGTAATTCTTCCAGTTGAGAGAGAGAGGAGAGAGCGGTTCTCAGTGTGCCTGCCTTTATAATCTGTCATTTGTGAATATGCTACGCCATAGTGTGGTTTATTTGATTTTGGCCTAGTATTCTGTGTAAAACTAGCCAATCATGTTTGTAATGTTCATTTGTTGTCAAATATGAAGTATAATATCATAGTTAAGTAAATATAAAATCATGGCTGGGCAAGTCATGGCTTAGTGCAGGTGTCTGCAACCTTAAATACTCAAAGAGCCATTTGGACCCGTTTCCCACAGAAAAGAAAACATGGGGAGCCAATAATTTAACAACTGGTGTGACTGGGTAGGCTTGGCCAACTCAGCGTCACTCACTCCCACCCAGTCACCTCCTCCTCCAGAATATGGAGTGAGCCTCCATCCCCCGCCATCACTCTTACCTTCTCAGGCCAGGCGAGGAGTGACGGGGACAGGAGGGGCCAACATGGTGGGATCAACCGACAAGGAGCTACAGCAGAGAGCTGAAAGAGCCACGTGTGGCTCCAGAGCCGCAAGTTGCAGACCCCTGGCTTAGCGGTATGCACAATTCCAGAATTAATTAAATTAATTAAAACAGAAGACAATTGCCTCCATTCTCAGAATGCTCAATCTTGATTGCATCACTATATTCTAAGGGTTGCAGCATAAATTATGGGAAGGGGGGAAAAAGTCATAATGTTTGTTAATAGCAATCCTATGTACCAGTGGAAACTGCAGACCTCCAAACTAATGATAGGCTTGCAAGCTTCTGACTACTGATTAAGTCCAGTAAGAGCTACAGCCACTCCAACTTTGCTTAGTTACATGAACAAGATTCCTGAATTTAATGGGATTTGCTTCATAGCAGCCATAGTTAGCATAGCAGAGCATGGAGCCCACTTAGCATTCAGTTCATTCCATTTCCACATAACATATTGTCCTTAAAACATTCTCAACTTTATTATGTACCCACTGCAGATGAATGTATTAATAAAAGATAAATTGGACATACCTTGTCTCCAAGGTGCAGAAATTCAAGTTATTTTCAGTAAGTAAATAATCTCCAAATAACTTTAAAAGAAGCTGACATTATCCTGAATATAGTTTATATTGTACAATATAGGGACTAGGTTAACTTACGTTTGATATCTTGATGAATAACTCCCTTTGAGTGAAGAAACTCAAGTCCTTTGAGAATATGTTTTGCCAGCCAGATGACTTCAAATTCTCTCAAAGGCCCACAACTTTCTATCTTTTCTAGGACAGACCCTCCTTCTCCTGCCTCCATAAAGAGATGGATTGTCTCATCCCATAAGATGGCTCCATAAAGTTCAGCAATATTTTCATGGCGAAAACAGGCTTGGATTTCAACATCTGATGGCTTGAACTGCTCCACGGGAACCTATGATGGCAAATATGTTCACATAATCATCTGGAAATCTAAGATTATTAAGTTTTTTTTATTAAAAAAAACCAAGAAACCAGACCCAGAAAACCATTCAACCCCAACCTTCCTCTCTAGAATCCCAAGGAAAAGCTATGGCTTCTTCTCATGCTGGTTTTCTGCCACATAGCATATTTGGGGAGGGGGAATTTCCCTTTGTTCTTAATAATGGACAGAGAAAGACCAGATTCTTCACCCATCTTCTTAAGAATTTTGCCAGAGAATGATGGAGTATCTACCATGAAGAGGAGGATTACAGCAGGATTGTGGACTATTGATAGAAAGTACTTCTTTAGTCAGCAATTCAGGCAAAGTATTAGAAATAAAAATCCTTCCATATGTTTCTACTATAAAACCCTGCTGTGTCCTTTTAAATCATATGCATGCCAACATCAGTATAAATGTCTACATATGCAGATGCTTTCTATCCTTTTTTAATAATAGAATGCTTATAACATCCCATCCCAACCCACAGGGCATTAAGCTTTGGTTGACTCATTCTTCCAGTGCTAATCCATTTTTCTTCCATGGATCTGATTGGCAAATGAAGACTGTTCAAGTGTGATGTTCTATCTTATCCTGACCGGACTTAATTAGTTTCAGCATAGTTATCCACCTCCAGGTGGTTGTTAAACCATATTTACATTTATTTATTAAATTAATACTGCCATCCATCTCACATATGTGGCACTTCAGCATTTGTTGATGATGTATATATGGAGTCTCTCCCAAAGAAGAAGAGAACTGGATATGTCATACTTAGATTGAGTTTCAAAACTTGAGTCTACCATATGCATATTGGAGGAAGTACATTTACAAAATGCCGGTTTCCATCATAAAGGGACAAATAGATCTTGTTTATTTCAGCATTATAGAGAAGGCCTAACATGGTGCAGGCAATTATCATAATTATCTTAATTATCAAAGATAATTAAGAAAACTTACCATCTTACAAGCCATCCGCTTTTTGGTTTCTGTATCTTGCGCCAAGTATACTTTCCCAAAAGCTCCCCGTGGAATGAAGTCAGTCCCAATATTTCTGTATGTTAGTTTCCAAGGAAATAGAAGAACATCCGAGTCAATCTTATAGCGCCCATTTTTGGGTTTGATCTATTTAAAGATATTTGAGATAAAGAAGAAAGTCAAAACACAATACTCCTTCACAACATTTTTATTCTGAAATACGGGTGTATTTACTGGAATATACATACTAAATTAATCTATGTCACCAACCACCTACCTTTACCTTGGAATGCCTTTTCTGAGATCTTACATCCCCCCACAAAGGTCTTTCTGTTGCAAATTACTAGGGACTGAGCCTGTAACTGGTATGTGAGAAAGACCCTGGGAGACTGAGGAAACATATGCTGCCAAGGGAATGGACATCTGAAAGACAGCATAGCCTACAATTGGATTCAGATGTGCAGGATATTGTCCTCAGAGGCAAACTAGATAGGAATCATGACCTGATGAGCTAATTCTACTTGTTGTAAAGCAAGGGTATCAAACTCGATTTCATTGAGGGCCACATCATGGTTGTGTTTGACATTGGGGGGGCTGGAAGGCATGGCTGGGGTGGACATGGCCCCCTCCCAGAAAAATGGAGCTCAAGGGGTATATGCTTGGGGAGTATGCGATAGCCTCTTGCAGCCCTCTGTCAGGAAAAATTCAGCTCGGGCCCACCCAGGCCACGTTTTCAGCCGCAACGGCATCCTGCAGCCCTCTGTCTGTAAAAATGGAGCTCGGGTGGTACAGCGTAGCTGCCTGAGCTCCGTTTTCACTGGCAGAGGCAGTGGTCTTCACAGCAATACAAGCAACACGGTGCCTACCGTCCCTATCCTATTGTTTCTTTTATATGTTTTTATATTTTTCTTATATGTATCCGTGTATTCATAACTATGTTTTTACTTATACCTATTATCTTGTAAGCAATTGACAAATTAAAAAAAAAGAAGCTCTAAGCTACAGCCCTTTTTCTACCAGAGAAAGTTCCATGACCATAGTAGTCGTTATATAGAACACTTAATTGTCTGGCAACAGCTTGATTGACAGCCTAATCAGGAGGCTGACATAAGGAGTCCTCTTAGTAGTTTATTGGGTAATTCTGACTATCTCCTAACCTTTTGCTCTACAGAGTTGAGAGTTTGGCTATGAGAGCAAATACAAGGTACTCTGTCTTCAAAGGTTGTATCAGGAGGTTGGCAGAGGAATAGAAACTAATTTTTTCTCAGAATAGGTGATGCAGAAGAAATTTGAAATCTAATTGTTCCTCTACTTCAAAGAATGAATGGTTCTTTGAAAGTACAAGGATTTTTTTACAAGGTAAAATTCTCCAAAGGAAAATTAATCAAGGAAAAAATATCAAAATACTTGGGGTGAGTTCAAGTATAGCAAGTAGATTACTATATTTAAGCCTAGCTTCATCTGCTCTAAAATAGTGGGATTTCAACTGCCTCTACAGAGATTAATCTGTATTATGGAAGTTTAATTGTGTTTGATGCCATGATTGAATTGGCACACAAGCAAAGCTGAAGTTGGAAAACAAAATGGGGAATGGGCTGGCAAGACATAATATAGTCTCAGTGGCGCAGTGGTTAGAGTGCAGTACTGCAAGTTACTTCTGCTAGAGCCAGCTGCCTGTAATTTGGCAGTTTGAATCTCACCAGGCTCAAGGTTGACTCAGCCTTCCATCTTTCTGAGGTGGGTAAAATGAGGAGCCAAATTGTTGGGGGCAATAGGCTGACTCTGTAAACCACTTACAGAGGGTTTTAAAGCAGTATATAAGTTCAAGTGCTATTGCTATATGGTATGGTATCTGATTGGAAAACCTTGTGAAAAGAACTGAGCATATGAAAAACAAAACTAAAATGCCAACTAATTCTATCCAATGGTTTCTCACAACTGTTGTCCACCATTTGATTATAAACAGTGGTTTATAAGCTAGCCTCCCTTTTTCCTCATCTAAAAAAACTGACAGAAATCAAAGGGCAACCTCTCTTCATGAGAAGTGACAAGAAGCTTGAAGATCCTGTTTTCCTGGTCTCAATTTCAACCTGCAAACTTCATCTTTAATTTGTTGTTGTCAAGAATACCTAATTTTCTAGTCCTCATGGTCACGAATAGCAACTGTGAGCAAGGATTGTTAAAACAACCATAAATAAGAGCTGACAAATATGCTTTCCACAGAAACATGAAAGATCTGCATAATTTTAATAATTTAAACTGTTTTTAATATTGATCTTTTTACCACTTTGTATGCTGTCTACGGTCTTATCGGTGAGATGGGTGGTATATTAATTAACACATTTAATGCTCAGACTTTAGATATTTGTCTCAATCTATGTTTAGATTTTTAATTGCATCACGGCTGAGATTTAAAGTTGGGGAATGCACAAAAGTTGCCTTTGGTGAGATGGGTGGCTATATAAAATAGATAGGTGGGTGGAAGTAGAGATAGAGAGGTAGAGGTAGAGGTAGAGATAGATAGATACAGACAGACAGAAAGACAAACAGAATAACTGGAAGGCAGCTTCAATGTAATTTCATATAGGGTGTCACAAGGTGATAATTTTATACGTTCTAGAAAGGGGCAAATTATCTATTTTAGTTTTATGTTCATAGCTGCAATTCTCTTTTTAAGAAAGTGGATCAATTTATACAATAAGGTTTCACTCAGCAAGCTCAATGCCTGGCAATTTCATTGACACATCCATGTCAAATTTTGGGCACTAAATGAAAGGCTCTGCAATTGCTTCTTTTCGTCTGTTCAGCCTCACCTAAAACCTGGGATTCCCTGATGACCTCCCAGCAAGTATTAATCAAGTCCAATCCTGATTAGCTACTTGAGAGAAGCCAAGCTCAGCTAGGTGCTAATAACAGTATTGCACTCTTGAGATTTGTTCATTATAGTTGCAAACAGAAACTTAAATCCAAGCTAAAGATTCTGCTTGCAGAAACCATAGCTCAGGCCAAGATCCATTTTCCTGTACTAGATAATTTTCTCCTGGAGCTTCAAGTGGTATCTGGAGGACCTTTCCCCCCCCTTTTCAGAGTTTTCCCAGGACCTTTGGGCCTCACAAGAAAAATGAGAAAAAGTGTGAGAGGTCCCAAGTCACTCAAGCAAGGTGCAGTAGTTGAGATTATTAGTCCAATACCTTCATCACCTCACCACATTGGAATTAAATAATATCTAACTCCCATATTTAGATATTATACAACCTGATAAGAGTATAGGAATGCCTGTGGACAGCAACAGCTGGTCAGCAAAATCTTATCAGCCAGACCTAAATAGTCGAAGACTCCAAAATCCAGCCACAAAACCCACAGCTTTGAGCCAAGCTCCATACGAAATGCATTCATACAGAATAGCTGGTGGAGGTTTTAGAAAACACACACCATGTTTAATATGATTCCAGATTCTTGTCTCCTGTGCTGGCATAACTGCTTTGCGGTGTTTGACACCTGGTTGGCAAATGCCAGTAGGTCTTCCACAGTCCCATACTTGACACACGAAAGCAAAGAAACTTCTCTTCGGCTGAAGAGCAAAGATTCAGTCCGCTCCTCATTTTTGTTCTTTTCTGGATGCAGAGCAATGAGGTTGTCTTTGTAAATTGTCAGGTCGCCTTTGGGATAAAGGTTCTCCATGATGTCAATTACTTCGGACATATTTAAATCTGTCAGCAGTAAGTCAAACTCTTCCTTATTTTCACTACCGGTACTCATATACTCCATTACTGTATGTTCTCTTCCTCTTATTCTACCTTTAAAAAAAAAAGGAATAGCATTTTATGGTTGGTTAAGAAATTGCAACAGAGGAAATACTACAACAGAAATATGTATGGGCAACTTACATATCTCTACATTTAAGAAGGGGAAAAAGCAGAACTATGTAGTCTACCTAATCATAAAATGCAAACCAGCACATTTTAAGTCCCTAATTCTGCCCTATATAATTGGAGAAGGTTCACTGTAGAGGAATGTCAAGTAAGCATTGATATTAGCTCTTCTGAAAGCACTGATATTAGCTCTTCCACCTCCAGATGTGCTGAATATTAACTATTATTCCTG